GATGAAGTAGAAGATAATTTTTTTAAAGATGCCATTCATTATCATTGTATCAATAAATATCAGATATCCAGGAATAAATCTAGCAAAAGATAGGCAAGATCTCTACACAGAAAACAATTCTCTCCATATGTTCAATGAAAGAAAGGATATGCCAGGTTGGTGGACTGGAAAACTTAACTGTAAAGATGTCAATTTGTCCCAAATTTCTTTAGTGGTTCAATTAGATCTCAATAAAATCTCATTTGTTAAAAGTGGTAACTAAAACTTAGATTCTAGTTCTATATAGAAATCCAAAAGACCGGAATAGCCAAAATAGTCTTGAATAAGAACAAAATTGGAAGATTTTCAGTGACATATAATCAAGACTTACTACAGTTATTAAGACAGTATTAGCATAAAAACAGACAAAAATAAATACAGAATGGAGAAGAAATGCAAAATCAGACACCTGATACAGAATCACCTAGTTTACAACAGTTCAGTTGAAGGAAACGAGGACTTTTCCAATAAATGATGCCAAGTCAACCATATATTCACATGAGAAAAAAAAATGAATCCTGACAATTGATCTTACAAATATATAAATATTAAACTCAAGGAAAATATAAATCTAAATGTGAAAGGTAAAATGATAAATCTAAATTTATCCACAAAAATATAGCAATATCTTTACAACTTTAGAGTAAAGATTTGTTTCAAGACATAGACAGTACTCATCACAAAGGCAAAGATTGATAAATTAAAATGCATTAAATTTAAGAATTGCTTTTCATCCCAAGTCTTCACCACAAAATAGGAGAAGTTGGCATACTTGCAGTACATAGATCCAACAAAAGATTTGTATCTAGATCATATAAATACCTCTTAAAAATCAACGGGAGAAAGAAAACCCAAAAGAAATATCAGCAAGACTCAAACTAAGTATTTTGCAAAAGGATATCCAAATGGCCAATAAACATAAGAAAAGATGTTCAATAGCAGATATTAGGGAAATGCAAATTAAAATCACAATGAGATACCACTTAGCAGTGTCAAAATGCCCGACATTAAAAACCAACAACTGGGAAGAATATGGAGCAAGAGCAACATAACTAATGGTCAAGGGTCAGTACAACCACTTTGGAGACTATTTGGCACCATCTACTAAAGCTGAACATAGGCATATCCTGTGACCCAACAATCCCACTCTTAGAATACACTCAATAGAAATGTGTACCTATGTGAAACAAAAGATATCAAAATAGTCATAGCAGCATTAGTCATTAGACAAAAAAGTTATCCATGTACATTTGAGTAAGCAAATTGTATATGCATACATTGAAACACTATAAGACAATAAAAAATCAACATATAGATAACATGGATGAGTTCCATAAACAAGCAAGGGTGTAAGAGGAAGCAGACCTAAGAATGCACACTCCCTTATTTCATACTATTGTGTTAGAAGTCAGGGCCGGCCCGGTGGTTCATGCCTGTAATCCAAGCTCTCTGGGAGGCCGAGGCGGGAGGATTGTTTGAGCTCAGGAGTTTGAAACCAACCTGAGCAAGAGCAAGACCCTCTCTCTACATATAATAGAAGAAATTAATTGGCCAACTAATATATATAGAAAAAATGAGCTGGCATGGTGGTGCATGCCTGTAGTCCCAGCTACTTGGGAGGCTGAGGCAGGAGGATTGCTTGAGCCCAGGAGTTTGAGGTTGCTGTGAGCTAGGCTGACGCCATGGCACTCACTCTAGCCTGGGCAACAAAACCAGACTCTGTCTCAAAAAAAAAAAAAAAAACAGAAGTCAGAATAGTGACTACATTTGGAAGGAGAGAGAAATTTGATTGGGAGGGGAATCAAGAAGGTTAATGGGATGCTAGTACTATTCTATTTTGATCTAGGTATTGATTATTAAGTATAAATTCACTTGTGTATTCATTGGCTGTCTTCTTATGATTTGGGCAGTTTTCTGACTATATGTCTGACTATATTAATAAAATATTACTAGTACAGTGTAGACAATAAGTATTCATTTAAAAACATTAAATTAGTTGTCAAATGAGTACTAATAAGCAAATTTGATAAAGATGATTTTCTCAATCATTATAATGATGCCAAGGAAATGTAAAATATAAACAATTTTCACCAAATACTAGGAAAAAATCTGTTCCCAATTAAAATAATGGTAAAAAAAAGATAAAAGATTACTCTAGAGTGACCTACTGTGCCTGTTTGCCTGGACTGAGGCTTTCCTGAGACATTAGACTTTTAAGACTAAAACAGCAAAGTGCTAGGAAAACATTAGGACAAGCCTTATTTTGTCCAAAGTTCCTCCTTAGTCCTACTGAAAGAAAAAAAATATTAGTACATTTAATCTGGCAACCTTGTCTGGAAAATGATCATTCTTACTATGATTCTGTTTAAATATCTTTAATGGTACCCTGCCATCTAAAAAAATTCAAATTTAAGTGTAGCATTCAAAGTTCTACGCTTATTTCCCTGTGTCACGGTATTTTATACTACTTGTGTTACAGTTTTCAGCATAACTAGTCTTATTCCTAAAACATTTTACATTTTACTCTTTGTCTATGCTATTCCTTCACCTGAAATACTTTTTTTTTTGAAACAGAGTCTCACTCTGTTGCCCAAGCTAGAGTGCCGTGGCATCAGCCTAGCTCACAGCAAGCTCAAACTCCTGGCTCAAGCAATCTTCCTGCCTCAGCCTCCCCCGTAGCAGGACTACAAGCTATGCCACACTGCCGGCTAATTTTTTTTCTATTTTTTTTTTAGAGAGACAGGGGTCTTGCTCTTGCTCAGGCTGGTCTCGAACTCCCCACCTCAACTGATCCTCCCACCTCAGCCTCCCAAAGTGCTAGGAGGCTTGAGCCTCCATGTCCAGCTGAAATACTCTTATTACTGCTATTTCTCCCATTTATTTATTTATTTTTTTTTTTTGAGACAGAGTCTCGCTTTGTTGCCCAGGCTAGAGTGAGTGCCATGGCATCAGCCTAGCTCACAGCAACCTCAAACTCCTGGCTCAAGCAATCCTCCTGCCTCAGCCTCCCAAGTAGCTGGGACTACAGGCATTCGCCACCATGCCCGGCTAATTTTTGTTATATATATTAGTGGCCAATTAGTTTCTTTCTATTATAGTAGAGAACGGGGTCTCGCTCTTGCTCAGGATGGTTTCGAACTCCTGACCTCGAGCAATCCGCCCGCCTCGGCCTCCCAGAGAGCTAGGATTACAGGCGTGAGCCACCACGCCCGGCCTATTTCCCCATTAATCCTAATAGTTCTTCAATTTCTTCTCCTCCTCCACATATTTCCTTATTTCCCCTAAACCAAATTATTCCTTAAATTTCTCACTCTTTTGAATTTGCATAGCATTTCATTGATATGGCTCTCAAGACAATCTCTATATTCACTCAGCATTACATTACAGATCTCTGGTATATTCCCTACCATCCCCCTATGAACATAAATCAGGCACCCTTGCTTCCTATAAAGATTTAAAAATTGAAATACCTTTAAATTTTTCAATTCACAGGAATCATTTCCACTTGATTTAGATCCAGGTACAATCACATCTCGGCATTCTGATCCAGAGGTCTGTCTTTTACCCATGAAATAAAATAATTTTAATATTTAATTTGAAATCAATCTCAATGTATTTTTCATTTTAAAGTTGGCTTCTTAATAACATACATACTTTTTTATTGGAAAAATTTCCTAAAAAGACATTTCTAAAAGTGACTTAATTTCAATACAAAGGTAACTTAGCTAAAAAATTAGGTGCTGGGCAATGACAAAAGCAATAAGGAGATAGGTGATGGCCTGCTTCCTTATTATCTAATAAGTTACAGTTGGAGTTAGGGTAAGAATGTATAAGAGAAAATGTAAGTGAAACTACATTTCAGATTGCAAATAGCTTAAGAACCAGAATATAAAATCTTTTGTGGACTTCCACAGTACCTAGCATAGTCTATCATAATAGGCAACAGGAAAATGGAGTTTTACTGGTTTGGTTTTTATTTTTTTAGAGTGAGAGGAAGTCTCTTTTATTCTTCAGCTAGGTATTTAAAATGGAGATGAGCAAGATGACATGATAGTGACAAGATTTTAGAGCTTAACTTTCCAAAATGCTCTTTTAATATCAATTTTTAGTCAAGGCTGAAATATGAATTTAATCATAGAAGACATCAACTAAAAACAATTATTTGTGTTTCTAAAATTTACTTGCAAAATGATTCTCTAGAATCTAAGGAGACTTTTCCAATATAAATAATATTATAAATGATGGTTAGACTTAGGAATAGACCAGAAAATATGTCTCCTTTATCTAAACTAGAATGCTATATTCTCATTTCTTATAAGGGAATAAACACTCAAATTGAGGGAAGGGGAACACTTGGATGTGATGAACAATATTTCATCTCTATCTAACCTTTCCCACCACTTCTTGAAGCCCTGGGACTCTAAAGCATGTGATTGAATAATCTTTCCCACTGATAGCTATTCTTTTCCTTGAACCAGCTGGAAAAGGTATTTGTTCCCAGACCTCCTTCCACCCCTGCTATGACCAACTCTGCTCTCTCCCCCATCTGTGGAAAAACTTCTTGTCTTACATTAAACCCGTCCCTGTACCAAAAGATGGGACCATGCTTATGACATGGAATAATGAAACAGATCAAGATAAACAAATACAGAATCTGTTTCTGTAGCCAACACTTAAAAGATTTGCAAAAACTGTAAAACAAGCCACTCTCCTTACTAATAATATTTGTCAGAAAACTATTTCATAAAAGTATTTAATTCAGATTATTTTTAATAACAAATATATATTTTTTATTTCCTAGTAAGTAAATAGAGATAAATATAAGCCCATAAATACACTCTTTAGGTGCATTGAAAGAGTGTAAGGAGCCCAAGATCGAAATGTTTGGAGCGATTAGAATCAAGGCTTTACTGTCTTCCTAAAGGTACTGAAAAAATGTAGAGAAAAGTATGTACACCGACTGTAGGTAGACTCTCCAGTAATCGTATAGTCATCCTCTGAATAGCCACTGGGTATTTGAATTTCACCATATTTACATTGGCGAAACTGGCTCAGGCCACATTGGCTTCAGCTCAAGTTGGGCCCTCAACCAAACCAAATGCAAGAACAAATCCTTTATTCGTAAAGATTGGATCAGTCAAGAGGATGCACCAATGGATCCAGAGCCCATGTGCCAGGCCAAGTTTCCCGATCTTTTTCATTTTATCTAGTGTATCGACGCATCAGGAATTGTTATTTGGGACAGCATGCATTTTCAGGGTCAGCAAGTCTAGTTTTCTGTACAATATACAATTATTACTTGCAGAGCAAGTGTCATAATCAACTGCTTAACAAAGTTTAGTGCAAAAGCAGCCATAGACCAAATGAATGGTTGGCTTATATAATAATACAATCAGGCTGGAAAATAGATTTGACAGTACGTTGCCACTTCGCAGCAGTCAAAACAAAATACAAGAATTTAGCCTGACATTTACTCGTCATGACATAACCTCTAGGACATCATGATTTGAAAAAAATATTCACTAAATACTAATAAAAACATATAATGAACAGATCAAAAAATGCAATAGATAATTACATATTGTGAATAAAGTACATCTGTATGAAAAATCGGTTATCGGATCCTACTAAAAAGAAAAAATAAAAATAATGACTTTCCTTAGAAGCCATTGTAAATCTTGGAACCTTTGTTTCCAAATTATTTTATGTTATGCCATAAAATAGAGTACTGACATATAAAACTAACCTAAACAATAGAATATGTTCACAACGTATTAGTAATTTGCTCTAAAAGAAAAGAGAAACTAAAAGCTATAACCAGCTACTGAACAAGTCAATTTACAAAGGCAACATAGCACAAAATGTATAATCAGAGACCGCATATCTAGATTTAAAGGCTTCTAGGTTCTAATAAACAGAATAATAAATGGTAAACACAAAAAAAAAGATATGAAGTCTTACTAAAGATGAGCTATCACGACTTTTCATAGCCTTCTAGTCGTAACATAAAATTTACCTTTAAAGCCTATAATTTACCTCTCAAATGTCCGACACAATTATCTAATCATTCTATGAAAGCAAAGTTCCGATCGTTTTGTAACAAATCTTAAAAAATATGTAGCAAAATGAAAATCTACAAATGATAATTTCTAAATGAAAAGTTTGATTACAATGAACAAATAGGAAATATTAATTAAAACATGCAGAAAAACATTTGAAAATTCCAACCAACAACAGTCACACAAAAATATTAACAAACGGACTCAATTGAAGAGTAGCACAAACCTCTATACAATCGTCAAAAACAAGAAATATCAGATAAACAAGAATGCACCTATCATCTGCCTATTTATCATTATAGAGTTAGCACTTCAAACAAGAAATAAAGAAAGATTACAAAAAAAAAAATGCATACATTTCAAACACAGATTGTTGTATCGACAAAAATCAAAAATCCATGGAGAAAGTATTCAAATTATTAGTATTTACAGATGTCACTATATCTAAGATGAATAAGTAAAAATCATGGATTTTATATACTAAGGAATAGAAATAATTTTTTTAAGATGGCATTCATTATCATTGTATAATAATATCGATCCGCAGGATACAAGTCTAGCAAAAGATAGCAGAGATTCTACACAAAAAAATTCTCTCATATTTCAATGAAAGAAAGATATGCCAGGTGTGAGCTGAAACTAACTGAAGATGTCAGATTTCCCAATTCTTTATGGGCATTAGATCTCAATAATAATCTCATTTTAAAAGTGTACAAATGATCTTAACTATAAATACGAAATCCAAAAGACTGAATAGCCAAAATATCTTATTAAGAACAAAATGGAAGATTTTCAGTGACATATATATTCAAGAACTACTACAGTTATAACGACAGTTTAGCATAAACAGACAAAAATAAATACAGAAGGAGAAGAAATCAATCAGGACATCTGAGTACAGAGCACTAGTTACAACAGTTATGAATGAAACGAGGACTTCCAATAAATGATGCCAAGTCACCATAAGTTCACATAGAAAAAAAAGATCCTGACAATATCTACAATTATAATATAAACCAGGAAAATTAAACTAATGTGAAAGTAAAAGATAAATCTAAATTATCCACAAAATTAGCAATATCTTACAGACTTAGAGTAAAGATTTGTAAGACAGTAGACAGTACATCACAAAGCAAAATTGATAATAAAATCATTAAATAAAATTGCCTTGTCATCCCAAGTCACCACAAAATACGGAATAGTTGGCATACTCAGTAATAGTACCAGACAAAGATCTTTATCTAGAAAAAAACCTCTAAAATCAACGGGAGAAAGAACCCAAAGAAATATCAGCAAGACTCAATAATATTTTGCAAAGGATACAAATGGCCAATAAATAAAAAGTATGTTCAATAGCAATATTAGGGAATGCAATAAAACAATGAGAACCACTTAACAGTGTCAAATCCCAACATAAAAACCACTGGAAGAATACTGAGCAAACAACATAACTAATGGTCAACGGTCAACAGACACTTGAGCAATTTGGCACGGATCACTAAACTGAACATAGCATACCTGTGAACCCAACAATCACTCTTAGAAAACTGCAATAAATGGTACCTTATGTGAACAAAAGAACTAAAATAATCATAGCAGCATAGTCATTAGACAAAAATTATCCATGTACAGTTGAGTAAGCAAATGATATGCATACATTACACTATAAGACATAAAAACAACATAGATATACTGGAGTTTCCATAAACAAGCAAGGGTGTAAGAGAAGCAGACTAAGATTGCACATCCTATTTCATCACTATGTGTAAAGTCAGGGCCGGCCGGTGGCTTCATGCTGTAATCCAAGTCCTGGAGGCCGAGGCGGGAGAGTTTGACTCAGGAGTTTGAAACCACGAGCAAGACAAGCCCTCTCTCTACTTATAAATAGAAGAATTAATTGCCAACTAATTATATAGAAAAATGAGCTGGCCATGGGTGCATCCTGTAATCCCAGCTACTTGGGAGCTGGGCAGGGGATGCTTAGCCCAGGATTTGATGCTGTGAAGCAGCTGACGCCAGCACTCACTCGGGAAAAAAAAAAAAAAAAAAACAGAAAAAAAAAAATAGCCTGGCAAACAAAACAAACTCTGTCTCAAAAAAAAAAAAAAGAAAGTCAGAATAGTGATACATTTGAGGAGAGAGAAATTTGATGGGAGGGAAAAGAAGTTAATGGATGCTAACTAGTTCTATTTGATTAGTTATTATAATATAGAATTCACTGTTGTGTATTTCATTGGCTGTCTTTAATTTGGCAGTTTCTGACTAATGTCTGACTATATTAATAGAAATATTTACTAGTACATGTAAGACAAAAGTATTCAATTTAAAACATAAATATTGTCAATGAGTACTAATAGCAATATTTGATAAAGATTGATTTCCAATCATAAATGATGCCAAGGAAATGTAAATATAACAATTTTCACAATACTAAGGAAAAAATCGTTCCCAATTAATAAGGTAAAAAAAGATAAAGACTTACCTAGAGGTGACCTAACT